CCTGGATCCCATAATAAAAGCCTGTATGAGTTCCACTGAAGACCTACAGCTCACAACAATGCCTCCCACAAGTCTTACTGGAGGCCTGGAGCCCATGACAATGTCTCGGGCAGACCTGCTTCATAGATCTGCACTTGGAAGGCCCAAAGGTCGGTGGTGGAAGAAAGTCATCCATGTCAGTAGGATGAAGGATCTGTGCTAGCAAGCTAGGGGATCGGAACCAGAGCCAGGAAGCAATGCTCAAGGTAAGCACCAGAGCTCCGCTGAAAAGTACCACAGGTACCCTCAGCAACAGTGAGGTCCCAAGCTCCTCCACCAACAAGAAAAGCTGAGTTCCCGTCAGGAAAGCCAAAGTGACAAGCTTCTCCACGTGGCTGAACAGTGCACCATATTCCTCTCCAGAGCCAGAAAGCAACGCTCCAGGGGGGGACCAGAGCTCTCCCAAAGTGAATCGTAGCCACTCTCCATGACACTGAGGTCTGGAGTTCCTCCTCTGATAAGAACAGCCAAGTTTATCAGGAAAGACAGCATGACAAGGTCCTCCAAGAAAACCAGCAGCTCCCTAAAGCTTCCCAACAGCTTCTACCAGCTCCCAGCAGCCTCACTCCTTCTTTACCAGTTCTGCCTCTTGTGCTACTGGCAACAATCCTCAGGTGGGCCTCCCACACCCAGTACCATGCTGGTTCAGCTCAGCTGGGTGTAGCAAGTTGACCACCAGTTGGCAGTCCACCACACTAACCAGATGATATGGTAGGAAGCAAGAGCTGAGAGGGTCAAAGTGAGCGGGTGGGAACTCAGAGGGTCAAAGTGAGTGGGAGATCCCGCCCACTCACCTACCTGCCCTCGGTTTCCTCCTGTTAAAATGGGCCTACTGAATGCTTCCAGAGCTTGGCGGCAATCTAATGAGTCCACTGAAGAAGAGCACTGAAATACTGTTATCATCTGTTTTCCCCTCCACACATGGGACCAAATGGATGATGATATTTTAAGAATGAGTCCAGCAAAACTTGATTAGTTTGAAACTGGAAAAAAAAAATGCACGTTTACACAAAATCTAAAATCAACATGACACAGGGTCAGGAAGAAGGATAGGCCGAATCAGTCAGGGGAAGAATGACTGGATACATGTATGGTAGCAGGGGTGGGTGTCGTGGCAAACCATGTAATCCTACCACTTTGTGAGGCTGAAGCACAAAGATCATAAATTTGAGCCCAGCGTGGGCAATGTAGGGCTTGAGTGAGACCCTGTCATAAAGCTTACAAAGAAGAAAAAAGGAGCTGAGACTGTAGCTCAGTGCAAAGGCTCTGGATTTTTTTTTTAAAGGTCTCACTTTTTTTTTTTATTTTATTTGTGTGTGTGTGTGTGTGTGTGTGTATGTGTGTGTGTGTGTGTGGCCAGCTCAGCCCACCAGGGGGCGGGGCGCTGGCTGGCATGTGGTGCTGGGGGATTGAACAGTGGTCCCTGTGCTTTAGCTAAGCTTTTTCTAAGTAGGTGCTTTAGACCACTGAGCCATCTCACCAGCCCAAAGGCTCTGGATTTAATCTACAGTATCACCTTACTTTTTCTCATTGCTCAGACAAAATACCCAACACCCAAAGTTAAAGAAGAAAAGGTTTATTTCAGCTCACAGTTTATAGAGATTTCAGTCTATAATAGGCTGGCTCCAATACAGGTTGACACACAGCAGAGGGGAAGCATGGGGGAGAAAAACTTCACAGCAGGAAGAAGCCAGAAAGAGACCCAAGCAGCAAGCAACTGCAGTGGCAAGCAGAAGCACCAAAATGATACCTGGGATTTGGAGGCAGATTTATATATGTAAATAGGCACTGAATGGGATCGTTCCCAGGATATCAGGCCCCAATCTCTGGTGGACTAGGGCTTATATGGAATAAGCAAGCAGGAAGTACAGAAGCAGAGTGGCTTGTCAGTTGGGGATGGGTTTATACAAAGCGCATCATAGGGATCAACCATTTCTTATTTATTTATTTATTTATTTATTTATTTATTTATTTGATACAAGGTCTCACTACATAGTTCAGACCTGTAGTGATCTTCCTATTTCAGCCTCCCCAGTGCTGGGATTGCAGGCATGTGCCACCATGCCCAGATTTGGGGCTGACATGGCGCACCTGGCACAGCATGCGGCACTGGGGATCAAACTTGGGACCTTGTGCTTCCCAGACGAGCATGTAGACCACCCAGCTATCTCGCCAGCCCCCTAAGACTATTTTTTTGTTTCTCCCTAAGTTGCTTTTTGGAAAACACATAATCATGCCAGTCTGTTCTGTGACATTACTCTGGCAATGCAGTGAGGAAGTTAATCTGATCTGGGAGAGTGTCCACTGTGCCTTGGGTGCTCATCAAATCTTGGTCAAGCATTTAGTTGTTCTATTCTCTTAAGACAACTGTCCACCAGGTTTAAGTCAAGAAACACAGTGAGCAGGGGTAGGAAAGCAAAGACAGAGAGAGGTAAGTGGGCTGAAAAGACACAAAAATCAAGGGAA